AGGACCGCACAGAATAAATGGAGCTTTACACCCCCCCCCCCCCCCTTTCCTAAGTGCAATACAATTAGACAATTTTTTTTTCCAGTGAACAGCAACCTCCCTTATTAAGATAGAATATACCATTGGGTGTTTAAACTCCCCTACCCTCAACACATAGTCCTTGTCAGCAGGGACAACTTGAAAATGTCGTTCCCATGAGGTAATGCATAGATGCAACTCTTTCGACGATTGAATTCGAAAGAAATTTAGACTAATGATCAATATACTGACAATATATCCCTAATTGCACACTGCACTCTGCACTCATTCCCAAACTAAATGAATCAAATTAGTTCCAGAAGACAGGGGTGTAAAACTTCATTTCATTTATGTTGGAATGAAAATGAAGAAAAAAAAAATGATAACGAGACTGTGTTTGTAGTAAAAGACATTTGGCATGGTACAAGGCGCACTTGTTCTAATTACACAGTAGCCAAATTTTTAATCTTAAAACATCTTTCAATTCCAGGAGACCTACTGCTGGTAAATGGGTTGTTTCCCACCCCACCCCTCATTAAACTGATGGTCTTGGGGCCCAACCCTATATTTAATTTGTCCATTTAACAACAAGACATATCATCTTGTAGGCCAATCTTCATATGATCACAAAGTAAGTTTTACATCTCTAATTACGGACTGCTCTTTTGGTAAATAAAAGGGATGTTGTCCCAAAATTTTCAAATGAATATTCGACTGACGCATACTTATAAGTATTTAATTTGACAAGTTAAAGGAATGTAGTCCCAAAATTATTGTGCGGCTTGATGTATTAGTCAATTGGAGTGAAGGTGCCGAATATATTTCCAATCTTCCAGATCTTGTTATGGGAATTAAAGGGATTGTTAAGAAGACACTGATAGAATCAATTTGCATCATTCCAATTTTCAATCAGACGTCTGTGGTTTCTGCAATTCAGCTAAAATCAATTATTTGATAACGTCACCAATCACAAAATATGCCCTTCGCGATTAGGACGTCATCAAACACAGTTTAATCAGAGATGATATTCTATACTCTCTGCTTTTAGTAGAACCGACCTGGCAACTTCGTCACTTTTTATTTAATTGTAGACTAACTAGACGTTGGGTGTCCCTTATATAGTTATATAGATCAAATAGTATAATTACCTGATTCATGTATTTAAACGAATATAACTCATCAATTTCATGCTCAAGCTAAAGTACAAAAGTGTATATTTCTAGTTTGACTCATTCATGAACGTTAAACAGGTGCCCTCGTAATTTTACCATATTGACGTCTAGCGGTTCTGATTTTAAAAGTATCAATGGAATTCTTTGAGATAAACTGGAGCCGAATTATAAAAACACAAGACACAATCTGGTTTGAAATCATTTGATATTTTTAGCTACAAAAAGACTCGGGTACAATAAAATATGGCATTTGTTTCAAGTACTGGAGAGTCGGAGTGGAGATGGTGGCGCCATGAAATGGTAAAGGGGCGTAACTCTAGTCTCTAGACAAGAGAAAAGATGGTTAAAGATTGGCTGAATTGATAAACTACTTTAAATGTGTTGTAAATGGCTAAGGTGGTTTAAAATACCTCAGATTCTAGTCTACCTTTATTGCTGTTTTATTAGTTCGATTGGTATAGACTGGACTCTTGTCGGCCAACTTGGCAGACCCGCAGGTGTTTCACGAGTCGGTAGAGGTCGCCACAGGGATTATTAAAACAATTATAGACTATACTAAACAAAGTTGGGATATTTGAAGGTAAATTTGTAAGTAAACAGAACCACGAGGTTGTATACATTTCAATACACATTGACTTCAATAGCACACGATTACAATCTGTTGAACCTTATTGAATAGATAAACCTTCTAAATAGGCTGAAATACCCAAATATCAACACATCAGAATCAAACTGGCGGTGTCGGTATATTGACAACACACTCAACACAGTCCGTATTTATCATTGGCTCATGCTATAATTGTCCAAAATTTCTTACTTCTCCCTAGCCTATGATAGATATTGCGACAGTTTTGAGGTTATATGGAGCGCAGAATTCTTGTGACCTTATTTGACTTTCCAAATTGACTCTCATGGTCCCGTAAATTTTACTGGTTTCGTACTACTATTGTGATAGTAAACATGCGAAAATTGTTGAACTCTTTCAAGTGCGCAATTGAAAATATAGCTGACTTGTTTAACGTTTGCGTGTGTGTTTTGGGCAGTTCCACATCTCTGTAATGTAACTACATGTATTTATTCGACTAGCTTGTGAGCAAATTATCCATTAGGAATAATCGTACAAAAAAAGGGGGGGGGGGGGTATATGGAAGCCTTGACTCCAGGAGATGGTCTAGCAGAAAGTCATGTGTTTTACGTCTCTAAAAGAATGTTTATTCATACAGTATCTACATATTCTGACCCTACCCAGCCTCTAATCAGCATCCAGTCGGAGCCCCGGGGTTTGTTCGTCACAAAAGTAACAAGTTTCAGATTATATCCAGTGACGGACATAAAATGGATGAAATGAACAAAAGTAATTTATTTAATATTTTATTTAAACTGATTTGTGAAATAACAACACACAACAACACAATATTCAGAAGTTTTTAAATGCTCATAAATAAAGCGTGTGCATAACCTTAAAATATGCACGTGTGTTTCACCTGAATTAGTTTACATTTTTTGAGACAGATCTACGTATTCTGACCTAATAACAAGTTTACACGTGACATAATATACAATATACAATAAATATACACCAATATATACAATTGTTATAACAGACTTGTGGTTTGATAAACGAGATTCTTGAGGTCACTATTATTGGTGACCAAAGGCTAATACCAACAGTCATGCCCTAGCTAACAAGTTAAAAACAAAGATCAAGATATGCAATAGTTATCAATAAATATCATTGATTTTCACACTTCGAGTAGGGACCACTTGTACTTATAGTAGACATACTCTATCATAATCTGGTTTAATCTTCCAAATGCACGTACATCGAGAGGGGTGGGGGTGAAAAGCCTGTTATAACATAATATCACAGTAATATCAAAATATATACAACATATCTTTCAAATAAACGATGCCACTTTGCCCTGTTTTTAGCACTATCTAACTAAGGATCAAATGGCTGCAGAATTCAAGGGCTAAAAATCACACCCCTTGCTCCCTGCCTGTAACTTCAGCCAACGCGAAAAATGAAGCTTATGAAGGTCGGCGGATTAAATACTGCACTAAACTGGGTTCTATGTATTTCGTTATATAATGCAAATATTATTAAATGTTTCAAGGTATAGACCTATATAGTGATATGAATTTTAATTTGAAAATATCTAATCTCCAAGTCGATTTGCCCCACGGAGATTTTAATCCCTTTGAACATGTGGATATTGTCAAAAAAAATTGATAAAGGACTAACTTAAAAAGTAAAATGAAGAGAATTATCTGAAAAACCAGCTGACGCCTGCTTCTTTTGAAAATAATGACATTAATGACGTCATTAAACCCAAAGGTGTCGTCTGCAGAGCAGCATGACACAGGAATTAGTTGTGGTCTAATCCCAAGTCAAGAGGATAAGCTTTATGTAAGTTTAACCACATACTGAGTTAGGAACTTGATCCCGGACTCAGACCACAACTCCAGTGTCTAATTGAATACATATTGAATTAAAAGATTGACTAATTGTAAAAAATCTTGAAGACGACCCCACTGTGTTTATAAGCCGACTCTCGCCATTAAATCGCCTTTTGTGTTGTCAAGTAGACATCAACAAGTTGGTAAAATTATCCCCTTGTTTGTGAATATAAGCCACTTGACTCGCGTAAAGCTTGTCTCGCATGATCTCGAAAAACAATACCCGAGAAAAATTGAGATTTTATCCAGGCGCCGTATTTTAATTCATCCGATTTATCTTTTCTATCGTTTCGTTCAGCCAGAAATTAAATTTCACTTTCTGATAAATCCCCATTCTTTTCACCGCCATGATACACATATTTTCTCACCCATCAATATCAAAAATACTTCAGTCGCCTCGAATTCCCCATAGGGCAATCTAATAATTCAATTAGACGCTGTTATCAGGTCTTCCAGTGTCAATAAACATGTTATAATGAAAACAAATGACTGGATGATAAGAAATCAGTTAATAAAGATTACGATTATTCTCGGGGTGTCGAGATTTAGCGATATTTCGTCTCCGTGGCGGCATCTAGTAGATAGATTGTGATAAGATGGAATTTTTCCCGCCCAAATTATCGCCGTCTGCCAAGAACTTCAGGATAGATTAGAAAGAAAAGAATGAAGATTCAGTCTTTTGGAGATGAACCATGAACAGGAATTCGGTGAATTTCACAGCATTTTGTTAAATGGATACGTTTTTATCTAAAACGATATACGGTACTATTGCAAACGATACATCAATGGTAGACATTGCACGAAGGATAATGAAGCACTAAGGATGCCATTTATCGTCAGGTATCTCAAATAGGACCCACATAGTCGTTGTCAAGGACCACGACAAGTTTTCCGCCATGACGGTTTCTAACATTTTTGGATGTCCGAGTTGGTCGCACTTTTGGTGTTTTGTATAAGGGATTTCGGGTCTTCTAGAAACATGATAATACCGAATATCCAGTCAAAAATGTTTCATAAATTTGCTTATTGGCCTACATATAAGTCCAATACTATAGCATTAATATGGCATTAGCTTGGTTTCACAGAAACCAGAAAGTGTAAAGCGATTCATCCGCGCCTTTCTCACAAACTAGAATAAATAACAACCCGTTACGTCCATTTTCTATCCCTGAGTAGAATGACTTCACGTGCAATAATTCAACCAATCACAATGATCCTCTTATCTGATATGCACTTCCGGTTAACACAACCAATCATTACATTGGTGCGAAGGAACTGACGTCATATCACATTGTGCAGATTCTAATATCTAATACAATTTGAATGTTTTGACTCTGGCTTTCAAGGGAAGTTCACATCTACAGCCATACAGCGACATTTCTTGATTCTCATGACTCGTTTCCGTTTGAATCGCATGCCCTTTTTACCAGGGCATCGTAATGTCACAATTATCATTCGGTACTTTCGGGGTTTACAGAATCCACATGACATAAACGCAGCAGGATTTTCGTCCGATTTGTCTGATTTCGGAATAAAGAACGAGTTACATTGGCCGTAACAAAAACTGTTGATTACAGTTGTCCGTAAACATCCTTTCTCACGTATGACTTGCTTTAACGGTTGCGTTTTACACCACTCTTTCCGTAAGTAAGTCTTTTTCGTAACGACCACAGCCTTACGACTTCCACGGATCGTAGACACAGAATGTTTTTGTGGTTTGCGGGTAGGTTTAACAAAACCAAACGGTTTAAATGTTGGTGAAGGTTTGGGTCTATAGTTAGGTTGACGTGTGGTTGTATCATTGAACGGAAAAGACAACATTCCGTGATGTTTCGGCCTATGTCTGTTGTGACGCCGACCTTCTAGTCTCCGACATTCTATGGCGGTAAAGTACAAAGCACAAACTATCACCATGGCGATAAGAACTGATCTTTGATGGAACATCTAAAATATAAAATGAAAGTAAAGTTAACCTTTATTGTTAATGGTAAATGATGTGCCATTTTGGTTTTCTGGACATTACGGCGTCCATTAGCCACAGCGGCATTTCAAACTATTTTGAATTTAAGTACATCTTTAATCGACTGTCTGATTCGCTGCAGACATCGTTTTGGAAACTGTGGAATTCAGAAATTGGTTTATTTATAAAATAATGACTTTTTAACAATGTATAATATTTGATGAATATTTGATGTTCGAAAGAAACGTCTCCGCAATCTGAAGCGTGTTGCTTGAGAGAATCCAGTCTTAACCATTATTCAAAAGCAAGCATCATCGGGTGTCTTATGAAACAACACCTACGCAAAGTGGCACGTCAACATCAACACTTTAAGACAAGTCTTCCTTCCCAGAAAAATGTAAACAAATCAGGAAATCTCATTGGTTCATTTGTAATGAAGTTAATCTATCAACCAATCCCAAATGTTTATGCTTTTTTTTTTTATAAAACATAACATACACATTTCAAAGAAATTGCCTAACTTGACTAAAACTGACAAAAATAGAACTATCTACGCTTTTCTTTTTGATGTAAACAATTTTACACAGACCGAGACATAAATTCGCCGATCTTGATGATTGACAATCGAAATTAATCGGTAATCTTGAAAAAGACCAAGATCAAGATGATGGCTTTTCTCACTTGTTTTTAATTTTCCACAATAGGCTACTTTTGATCACCTTTTTTTCACAACATCCATACATGCCTTTCATTTGTTTGGATATGGATTAGAATGAGGGTTTTTATTTTTTTAGAAAAAACTGAAATGTTTGTCATTTCATTCAAATAATGTGTTCAATCGTTCGTGAAATCTTTCTTTGATCTTCGCCTATAACGTATACGTTTTTTTTTTGACAATTTACACATTTGATATACTTTTTATAGCTTAACTGCTGAAAATGATCTGCAAGAGATATCTATCAGCTTTGTTTAATGGACCGTGTTGAAGGTGCAACCAAATACAGCCCTTCACGTGATGGTACGCTTAATGTAATAAAACGAAAGTAGCAACCCTAATTAGTATGATCGTTGATATGATTTCAAGGGGTTGAATTTCCCATATATCAAAGTAGTTTTTGTAAGATCTATATCTGTGTCAGTTTTTTTGTCGCCTACTATGTGGGACCTATTTGATCTTACATAGGCCCAACGAATAGGCCTACGTGTTTTCGACTTAATTTATCCAACGCTGTCCCCAAGTAATCTGAATTGGGAAATCCTTCTCCTTTTACTCATGTTTACTTAATCGGAAAATACTAAACACTAAGACAAGACACAAAAAGACAGTTTACATTTTTTCGCATAGAATTATTAGCTTATGGAATCTTATTGTGAGCGATACCAAAAGATTGTATCTACAACAACTGGATAATGTCAGTTATGGGCTTCCATACACATATGTATCTAAGATAATCATTTTGTTTTTTAGACCAAACCCATCTAATTAAGATATTTCAGAGAGAAATTATACCACCTTCCAAAAACACATAAACATTTGTGATTGTGATAAATAAAATGCTTAATTATTATTTCAAATTTTGATTTGTTTTTGATAGTTTTTGGGTGATATGAGAAAAAAATATCAGTCTAGCTTAGTTCCATTAATTATAATGATTGTGCGATCGGCAATGTCTAAATATATTTCAACAAAATGTTTATTAGTATACTAATTAAAACTGTCATGTTTTACTTCATCCGTCACATTCTTCTGGTGCCAAAATCATTAACATTGCCATCAAAATTAAAATGGCACAATTTTATAGTTTGAAAATTAATGGCTGTCACTCAAATTAAAAGTGTTGATTTGAGATGATAAAATTGTTTATTTCGTTTTCTTAATTGACGTCTGTCTTTGATATTATGGTAATGGAGTTTTACTTCCTGTTTTTACCGTACGCGAATTAGGACTGGTAACCTCTCATAGTGCGCAATGATGGAGTTTTCGGCATAAATTGCCATTTTCGATTTCAAACTAGTCAAAGAGTGAAAGCCCAAAAAAGGGAAACAAATGTAAAAAAAACAGGTGAAAAAAGAAAGCCAGTCTAAAAGAATAAAATCAGTAAGGAGTAAGGAGAAGAGAAAGCCAACCTAGAGGGTATAAATGGTCGCAGTACGGATAACTTAGAGGGTGTAACGACTCAGAGTGAAGACAACAGTGAGCCAACCTATATGGATAAAAATGACAGTAGGCCAAGTTATAGACAGCTTATAGAAGCAATAAGCCAACCTACAGAGTGTAAAGGGTTGAAACAAAGATAGAAGCCAACCTAGAGAATGTAAAGGGTTGAAACAAAGATATCAGTCGGTCAACATGGAGAGTGTAAATAATTATTATTGTTAAAGATAACTATAAGCCAACTTATAAAAATCTGTTTATCGATAGAACCTTTATTCAACACAACTAATTGCTCATTTTTTTCCGAAATTAAATGATAACATGTATTTTAAATGCGGTGTTAAAATTCTATACATAACTTTCATGTCAGTTGTGTAATGAGCCAGGAAATACAGGTCAATCAGCACTACACAATTAGCTATATACATCTACATATAATTTATATTTGATAGACAGCAACCACCTGTTTCATGGAACGAAATATTGTATGAGTTAAAACTAATCTAATAAAAGCTGGTATTCTTATCCATAAGACTTACAAAAGCGTTGAAGGCATAAGTCCATGGCCGTATAGAGCAGGGATGTATACGGTGTTCCGATAAGGAAACTATGCCTTGCATTAACTCAGCCTGCTTATCAGTCCTTTAGAATTAACTACAGTGATGGTCGAAGAGAGAGGGCGCTTCTGCGCCCATGTCTTACATAACATGGGTTGGCTTTCCGAAAATTAAACCGTTAGGTATTAATGCTGTTAGCCTTACGTCTACCTCTACAGTTGTGGTTCACTTCTATTCAAAGTGAAAGAGAATCGATATCGCTTCAAATCTCAGAAACATCGATCGAGCAGTCAGAAAAAAACTATGGCCTTAAGGTTTGAAATAATAGCGTTCAATCTGGCGCTTCCTTTATTTTTTCACATTATTTGAGATATGAATTATATTTAAATGAAAATCGGATTAAATCCTGGCAATATACATGAGAAATCGAAGAAGATTATTGGCTAGAGGAAATATCAGAAACTTAAGCTGCTTATCTCAGCATTTCTTAGACTCCGGATTAGTTTTATTCCGAGAAAATCAATTTCGTCTTGATAGGTTTCCTGCATTGATGGTTTTGATCATGTTATAGACAACTTGAACTATTTTTCAATTAGAGACCTTTCGCTTCAGTTTAAGTCTTCGTATTGGGACTATTGTCTCGCTGTACATGTTTCTATCGTGTTTTACTAGACATAGTAAACCTCGAATACGACAATGACTAGATGTTATGTGGTGTTCAAACCGACCAATCAACACAATTCTACATAATCATATTTATGTTTGTTTTGTATTTTATTAACACACGTACGAGCAACCTCTCGAATGAAAATGGCCGTTTGGATAACGTTAACCACAATCCCATTTATTAATGTGTAAGGGGACATGGCATGCTGCCTAATGCCAATGTGTGATAGGGTAGTATACTCGGCCCCCCCTTTCCACTATCCAATGTGTGATGCATGTCGACGAGGCCAAAACTTAAAGTTTAGTCTTTTGGATGCGGTAATAAACCAAGGCCCCGTGGGCATCGTTTGCTACAGGCTATGGGATAAAGGTCCTTTACCAATCGGAAATATGAAAGGAGTAACCTTATGTAGCTACCCTAGAAAAATCTCCCAAATTACACACATAATGGCGTTGTCTGTTTTCAGTGGCCTATTCAGTCGCAGAAAGTAAGGCATAAACATCATTGCATTACCTCTGTGATCTATATTCAGATGATCTGTGTATATATAGTTATAGTTAGTATTTATAAATACAGATTACAAGGTTATCTCTGATTGTCAAATTATCTTAATGTCGAATAGATAAACTGATCGCATTTCACTTTTCAGCACTTTTCATTGGTATATTTACAAACAACAGGATGCGAAGAATAAATCAAAATTGACGGTCAGAATCACGGGATGGAATCAGGTGTTCCAGAATTTTAAGCATACCCTTCATTTGAGGATAAGTACCAAGTGTGAAACTAAGCAGCTACATAGTCTGCCAATAAACTATGCGCTACAAAAACCAAAATTAAGTTGAAAATCACAATAGCAAGGAGGACAGGTGTTCCAGGTGAGATTCACTTGTCATTATCAATAGAAGTATTTATAAACAATATGTGAATTAGACATGTGGACTCTCCATGCGATGCCAAGTTGACTAACACTGCCGCAGAGTGGCGTCAGGTGTTCCGAAAGAGCCAAAAACTATAACCTAGCAGAACATAAACCCACTTTTCGATTTACATTTAAATTGAATTTAGACACATTAACGAATAAATATCAACCAATACACTTTTAAAGGACGGGTTATATCAATAATCTTTTAAAAAGATATCACGTCATGTAAAAAACATACTTATAAACAAATAGCGCAATTGTAATGGTTAAACATAATATAAAGCGCTTATTCTGTAGACGGGGTAAAAATCACATTGAAATTTTAAAAGATAAAGGGTAAGAAAAGAGAAAATCTAGCCTTTGTATGTCTTAAAATGACGTTTAAGCTACTATTTCTATTACCAAGCGATATACAGTCCGACGTCTGT